GGTCTTCTAGATGATTGCAGGTCATGGCCTCTGCAGCTTGGTTACAGACCAGGTCTTCTGGATGATTGCAGGTCATGGCCTCTGCGGCTTGGTTACAGACCAGGTCTTCTGGATGATTGCAGGTCATGGCCTCTGCGGCTTGGTTACAGACCAGGCCTTCTGGATGATTGCAGGTCATGGCCTCTGCGGCTTGGTTACAGACCAGGTCTTCTGAATGATTGCAGGTCATGGCCTCTGCGGCTTGGTTACAGACCAGGTCTTCTGGATGATTGCAGGTCATGGCCTCTGCGGCTTTGTTACAGACCAGGCCTTCTGGATGATTGCAGGTCATGGCCTCTGCGGCTTGGTTACAGACCAGGTCTTCTGGATGATTGCAAGTCATGGCCTCTGCGGCTTGGTTACAGACCAGGCCTTCTGGATGATTACAGGTCATGGCCTCCGCGGCTTGGTTACAGACCAGGTCTTCTGGATGATTGCAGGTCATGGCCTCTGCGGCTTGGTTACAGACCAGGTCTTCTGGATGATTGCAGGTCATGGCCTCTGCGGCTTGGTTACAGACCAGGCCTTCTGGATGATTGCAGGTCATGGCCTCTGCGGCTTGGTTACAGACCAGGTCTTCTGAATGATTGCAGGTCATGGCCTCTGCGGCTTGGTTACAGACCAGGTCTTCTGGATGATTGCATGTCATGGCCTCTGCGGCTTTGTTACAGACCAGGCCTTCTGGATGATTGCAGGTCATGGCCTCTGCGGCTTGGTTACAGACCAGGTCTTCTGGATGATTGCAAGTCATGGCCTCTGCGGCTTGGTTACAGACCAGGCCTTCTGGATGATTACAGGTCATGGCCTCCGCGGCTTGGTTACAGACCAGGTCTTCTGGATGATTGCAGGTCATGGCCTCTGCGGCTTGGTTACAGACCAGGCCTTCTGGATGATTGCAGGTCATGGCCTCTGCGGCTTGGTTACAGACCAGGCCTTCTGGATGATTGCAGGTCATGGCCTCCGCGGCTTGGTTACAGACCAGGTCTTCTGGATGATTGCAGGTCATGGCCTCTGCGGCTTGGTTACAGACCAGGTCTTCTGGATGATTGCAGGTCATGGCCTCTGCGGCTTGGTTACAGACCAGGCCTTCTGGATGATTGCAGGTCATGGCCTCTGCGGCTTGGTTACAGACCAGGCCTTCTGGATGATTGCAGGTCATGGCCTCTGCGGCTTGGTTACAGACCAGGCCTTCTGGATGATTGCAGGTCATGGCCTCTGCGGCTTGGTTACAGACCAGGCCTTCTGGATGATTGCAGGTCATGGCCTCTGCGGCTTGGTTACAGACCAGGCCTTCTGGATGATTGCAGGTCATGGCCTCTGCGGCTTGGTTACAGACCAGGTCTTCTGGATGATTGCAGGTCATGGTCTCTGCGGCTTAGTTACAGACCAGGCCTTCTGGATGATTGCAGGTCATGGCCTCTGCGGCTTGGTTACAGACCAGGTCTTCTGGATGATTGCAAGTCATGGCCTCTGCGGCTTGGTTACAGACCAGGCCTTCTGGATGATTGCAGGTCATGGCCTCTGCGGCTTGGTTACAGACCAGGTCTTCTGGATGATTGCAAGTCATGGCCTCTGCGGCTTGGTTACAGACCAGGCCTTCTGGATGATTGCAGGTCATGGCCTCTGCAGCTTGGTTACAGACCAGGTCTTCTGGATGATTGCAGGTCATGGCCTCTGCGGCTTGGTTACAGACCAGGCCTTCTGGATGATTGCAGGTCATGGCCTCTGCGGCTTGGTTACAGACCAGGTCTTCTGGATGATTGCAGGTCATGGCCTCTGCGGCTTGGTTACAGACCAGGTCTTCTGGATGATTGCAGGTCATGGCCTCTGCGGCTTGGTTACAGACCAGGCCTTCTGGATGATTGCAGGTCATGGCCTCTGCGGCTTGGTTACAGACCAGGCCTTCTGGATGATTGCAGGTCATGGCCTCTGCAGCTTGGTTACAGACCAGGTCTTCTGGATGATTGCAGGTCATGGCCTCTGGGGCTTGGTCACTGAACTGATCGATCAAACTATTAGTTATGAGAGTAATATAGCACACAAAATGTCACAAGAAATTACTCATAACTTGACATTACTTATGTTTGGAGGGAAGTCAGGATTTAGTACTTCAAGACTTGTTAAAATACCTCAGCTAGCATTATTGTTGGTCTCCTTGGGTCTTTTTCCGCACGTTATCTTGAAGCTGTGTATAGAGTTGCTTCCCACCACGTTGTATCCAGATCATTCCCCCATCCCTAGTGTCCAGAGACTGAGGAGAGGTACTTCATAATGGCCCTGTTTTTCGTCTGGTTTTCAGGTTTTACCTTGTTATTAGTATATTAGTATGCCACACAGTCTTAATAACACTGTATAAACATTCTCAGAACATTTCCAGAGGTTAGTCAAACATTGTTTGCATCTTCGTCCTGGTTTTCATTTTTTGAGGTACTTGTGAACGTCTTGTTCCGAGGAACACTGATTATTCACACCATTCTCAAGTTTAAAATAAAATTATGTAGTATAAGCCTGTGTATTTACTAATGATCTCAAACCAGGCCTCAAAAAAATTCGAAATTAAATATTGCAGTACTAAGATCTGTTAAGAAACACAGGAAACGAAATATAAATGTTTAGTGAACGTAAATAGAAAGTTTTAATATTTATGTCAGCTTACATGTTGATGAAAGACAAAGAAAAGATCAGCAGTGTTTCCCCCTCACAGACTCGTATAATAAAGACAGTAGCACCAGTACCTCCTTGCCTACCAACTTTATACTAACATCTTTACGTAATTCATTTCCGGGACATTGTTTTATAACTGCTATATTGGTGCTATATTTTGGCAAGACAGCCAAGTAATGTTGCAAGGGAAGTGAATCATGGATGGATTAAACATATGTGACTTTAAGTGCGTGTGGTATAGTGAGTCACTTGTCAAGAGTGATTTATTCAACTTAAGATATAGTGTGTCCACTGCCAAGCATGTGCATAGTGGTAGTGTATTGAGTATTGTGACGAGTGTATGTGTGTGTGTGTGTGTGTGTGTGTGTGTGTGTGTGTGTGTGTGTACACTTATCGGGTATTTGTATTTGCTGTTTGTTTGTGAATGTGGTTGAAGGGGTAGATTCTTGCTTCTGGATGTGCCCCTTATCACTTTCCAAACTTACGCCCTCCTAACCTCATGGGTCCTGTCATACATACTTTTACAATTATACATGGAGCCGTCTGGAGGATTGGTCCCAAATCTGCACACCACAAACTTTCTCAATGAAAGTACGAGGCTCGGCAGACGGTGCCAAATACCCTCAGTGACAAGCATGGGTGAAGTGTGTCCAATAAGGGAAAAACTCAATATATGGGAAGGGACCAAGAATTTTTAGTGCTCTCCCTTCATATATAGGGGGATTACCAACAGATTCCTGGTTGACTCAAGAGAGAACGTGACAAGTTCCTTAAGTCAGTTCCTGATTACCCGGGCTGTAGTGCATACGTTGGACTTACAGGGGTTAGCACCAACAGCCTGATTGATTAGGCCATCCACTGGGCCCCAGGGACGTTGACCCCTCGGAACATACTCCAGTTAGACCACTTTTTAGTCAGTCATTCCATTTTCCGACCACCCTGAAGATGAAGAAATGCTTCCTCACATCCCTATGATTTATGTGTCCTCGTGTACTTGTTTCTCGCCTCTCAAAAGTCTATCCTTGTTTTTCCTGTCAATTTCCCTGATTCTTCTGTTCTCTAATGTCGTTAGCTTCTCATAGCTCATTTTCCTAACTCTGGAACTAATCTCACTGCATACCTTTGTAACGTGTGTGTGTGTGTGTGTGTGTGTGTGTGTGTGTGTGTGTGTGTGTGTGTGTGTGTGTGTGTGTGTGTGTGTGTGGTTGAGGGAGGGGGAAAGGTATGAGACGAGAGGGATGGTGGATAGGAACATTGTGAATGTAGATAAATGGTTCAGAGAACCCACAAGTTGATAAATATACAAATAACCGGCACATAGGAGAGAGGAGCTACGACGATGTTTCGGTCCGACTTGGATCATTTACAAAGTCACACTTGTCGTAGCTTCTCTCTCTCATGTGCGGGTTATTTGTGTAGTGTTCCAGTCACGGTATTGTGCCTTTTTTTTTTTTTTGTTAAGTTGATAAATTAGACAAATGTGCAGCACTTGGGTATCTTTATTGAGGAATATAGTAAATGGAGTGGTGAGTATTGTTGTGTATGGGTTAAGGAGAGTGATGGAACGTGTATGTAGTGGTGAGTAGCACTGCTTGTTGGTAATGCTGGCTGCCTGGTTATTTCTGGGTGTCTTGATGACAAGTAACCCACCGCCTCCATTCTGACACACCCACGCACTCACGCACGGCCACAATGTTTCAAAGATGGGACACAGTACCAAGGGAACACAGCTGAAAGTTATACACTCAGATGAGTCATAGGAAGTATTTCTTCAGCCTTAGAGTTATCAGGAAATGGAACAATCTTGAGAGTGAAATAGTGGAGGTAGGATCCATATATAGCTTTGAGATGAGTTACAATAAGGTTCTTGGAGCAAGGAGAGTGTGGACCTAGTAGTGACTAGTGAAGAGGCGTGGACAGGAGTTGTGAATCTACCCCTGCAACCACATATAGGTGAGTACACGCGCGCACACGCATACGTACACACCCACCTACCTACCCAATCCCCCGTCTTTGCCTCCAGCCGCTGATAGATACTATCCTGTACGTTAGTGTACCCAGTAACTCAATAACAACCTGGTTTACTCTTTGTATGGTAATATTATCACTTCCCGCTCCAACTTGTACACCTGCCTCTGTTTATAAACAAAGTCCGCGGCTCAGCTGATTTTTCTTTTTCGTTATTGGAGGGCTGAGGTGACGTCACGTGGTGGGATACGGGTATTGGTGGGGAGGTTTGTGACGCCTGGTGAGGCCCCGCCTCCCACCAGCTGATGTTGGGAGAAGTGTGAGCGTGTGGCCGCGTTGGCTACATTAGTGTGTAGACAGCACGTTAGAGGTAACAGGTTCTCAGTGCTTCTCGGCTGCCTTGCCACTTGAATGAGACGCTCCTAACACTGCCTGAGAGGGAAAGTTTTGTACATGACAAGAGCGGCGTGTGTTGTTGGTGTCAGCGACAAGTGTTCCCATGCTTGTGTACGTATATATCCTTGCTCCCTGGCTCGCCCTGCTCTTGTATCTCTGCTTCGTCCTGCTAGACGATTAAGTGCGCGAACACACTCAACCAGCAGTGTCGTAAACAAGTGAGGCAAGAGTGTGTGTAGAGGCAGCGTGAGAGCCATACAGTCCAGCGTGGTTCCAGTAGCGACTTAAGCTCTCCCCCCAAGTGTGAGGGGGCGGGGCGCCCCGGCGCTGGTGTTGAGTGAGGCTGCGTATCGATCCTCCGTGCCGCCATCGCCGCGGCTACAGCTCGCTAGTGTCTATCGCGGCCCCACACCCGCGGGCCGCGCTGAATACCCATCATGATTTGGGCATCGTCCTAATGTCCCCTGCACCAAAGGTATAACCTAAAGTAACCCTACTACGTCAAGCTACTACTCTACAGTGCTACAACACACCCCATACCCCGGATACCTAGTGGTGCAGTGTCAAGTGTTGGAGGTGAAAGTGAAAGAATAGGTGTGAGCTGCTTCAAGAGTACCATGTCGGTAATGATGGGTTACAATGGTGGTGGGCCCAGCGGTGGAGGAGGAGGTTCTGGAGGGCCATCTAGGGACATACTCTACCAAGATACAGAATGTCTGCCACCCTATCAAGATACTGGTTGTGGACTTCCACCATACCAAGAGGCAGGCTGCGGCCTGCCAGCCTACCAGGAGGCAGGCTGTGGCTTACCAACCTACCAGGAAGCAGGCTGTGGCCTACCATCACACGGGTTGACCAGCAGAGACCCACCTAGCCATGATCTGGCCCACGGGTTAGACTACAGCAGCGACGTTGATTCCTCTCACCTGCCCTACACTCCGGAACCTGAGCCGCCCCTGGAGTTTCCCTGTGGACCAGAGTATAACCTCACCAACAACAATGGTGATGCGGGCGGCGGGGTGGGCGGCGAGGGCCGCCCTCGTAGGCGCCGCCGCACGCCACCCAAAGCCAAGATCGACATCAATGACAACTCCTTATACTCTGTGTACTGCTTCTTCAAGAGCCTCTTAAGGTAATGTCACTTGTGAGTGTGTGAGAGTAGGTAAACTGACGAGGAAACAAACAGGTAATCATAGGCGTGATATTTGTGCTGTGTTACTGCCCTTCCAAGGGAAGGGAAGGGATTATGATGCATTAATTTGAAGCTAGTTTTCCCTTCCTTGGGTCGAACCTGATTGCCATTCATTTCCCACACATTATATGATCCCTATGGGTTTAGAGCTTTCCCGTCAATAAAACAGTATAACGTGACACGGATTTGTGTTATACGCATCGAAGTATGTTTTTACTCACCGAATTGTGGAGGGAGGGAGGGGGTGGCATCTGAGCTGGCCCTGGTTCCTAAATTGCTTTGACCTGCAGTACTGACTCCTGGACTTTTGGGTCTTGCCATACAGATTACACAGTTTCAAGAGTAGGTGTGTGTGTGTGTGTGTGTGTGTGTGTACTCACCTAGTTGTACTCACCTAGTTGAGGTTGCGGGGGTCGAGTCCGAGCTCCTGGCCCCGCCTCTTCACTGATCGCTACTAGGTCACTCTCCCTGAGCCGTGAGCTTTATCGTACCTCTGCTTAAAGCTATGTATGGATCCTGCCTCCACTACATCGCTTCCCAAACTATTCCACTTACTGACTACTCTGTGGCTGAAGAAATACTTCCTAACATCCCTGTGATTCATCTGTGTCTTTAGCTTCCAACTGTGTCCCCTTGTTACTGTGTCCAATCTCTGGAACATCCTGTTTTTGTCCACCTTGTCAATTCCTCTCAGTATTTTGTATGTCGTTATCATGTCCCCCTATCTCTCCTGTCCTCCAGTGTCGTCAGGTTGATTTCCCTTAACCTCTCCTCGTAGGACATACCTCTTAGCTCTGGGACTAGTCTTGTTGCAAACCTTTGCACTTTCTCTAGTTTCTTTACGTGCTTGGCTAGGTGTGGGTTCCAAACTGGTGCCGCATACTCCAATATGGGCCTAACGTATACGGTGTACAGGGTCCTGAACGATTCCTTATTAAGATGTCGGAATGCTGTTCTGAGGTTTGCTAGGCGCCCATATGCTGCAGCAGTTATTTGGTTGATGTGCGCTTCAGGAGATGTGCCTGGTGTTATACTCACCCCAAGATCTTTTTCCTTGAGTGAGGTTTGTAGTCTCTGACCCCCTAGACTGTACTCCGTTTGCGGCCTTCTTTGCCCTTCCCCAATCTTCATGACTTTGCACTTGGTGGGATTGAACTCCAGGAGCCAATTGCTGGACCAGTTCTGCAGCCTGTCCAGATCCCTTTGTAGTTCTGCCTGGTCTTCGATCGAGTGTGTGTGTGTGTGTGTGTGTGTGTGTGTGTGTGTGTGTGTGTGTGTGTGTGTGTGTGTGTGTGTAGGGGTGCAAAGTTATTCCTGAGTGTAGCTTCTTTGTTTGAGGTGCGCACTACCACAGGTTTGACCACTAAAACCACCTCCTCTTTCCTGTCCTCTGCCTCTTGAGTTCCGGCAGCCCTGTAGAAGCTTGGCATGTTGCTTCTTACTCTTGCATAAGCTTATTAATTTATCACACAGCAACGAGGTTCCAACAATGGAAGTCTTAAATCTGGCTTTCTCACTTCCATTTTTTTTCGGGATTACACATACTGGGATTCCTGTAACGATTTTTTTTATTAAAGACAATAGTGTAGATCAACATTGTGCTTCTACCAAGTTAATGTGTGTAATAGTTAAGTAGTAGGGAAAAAAGTTAACTTGTATCCTCTACTATATTCCATCACATAGAATGGTTCCCCTGTCATATTCCATCACACGGGATGGTTCCCCTGTCATATTCCATCACACGGGATGGTTCCCCTGTCATATTCCATCACACGGGATGGTTCCCCTGTCATATTCCATCACACGGGATGGTTCCCCTGTCATATTCCATCACACAGGTTGGTTCCCCTGTCATATTCCATCACACAGGTTGGTTCCCCTGTCATATTCCATCACACAGGATGGTTCCCCTGTCATATTCCATCACATAGAATGGTTCCCCTGTCATATTCCATCACACGGGATGGTTCCCCTGTCATATTCCATCACACGGGATGGTTCCCCTGTCATATTCCATCACATAGAATGGTTCCCCTGTCATATTCCATCACACGGGATGGTTCCCCTGTCATATTCCACCACACAGGATGGTTCCCCTCTCATATTCCATCACACAGGATGGTTCCCCTGTCATATTCCATCACACGGGTGGTTCCCCTGTCATATTCCATCACATAGAATGGTTCCCCTGTCATATTCCCTCACACGGGATGGTTCCCCTGTCATATTCCACCACACAGGATGGTTCCCCTCTCATATTCCATCACACAGGATGGTTCCCCTGTCATATTCCATCACACGGGATGGTTCCCCTGTCATATTCCATCACATAGAATGGTTCCCCTGTCATATTCCATCACACGGGATGGTTCCCCTGTCATATTCCATCACATAGAATGGTTCCCCTGTCATATTCCATCACACGGGATGGTTCCCCTGTCATATTCCATCACACAGGATGGTTCCCCTCTCATATTCCATCACACAGGATGGTTCCCCTGTCATATTCCATCACACGGGATGGTTCCCCTGTCATATTCCATCACACAGAATGGTTCCCCTGTCATATTCCATCACACGGGATGGTTCCCCTGTCATATTCCACCACACAGAATGGTTCCCCTGTCATATTCCATCACACAGGATGGTTCCCCTGTCATATTCCATCACACAGGATGGTTCCCCTGTCATATTCCATCACACAGGATGGTTCCCCTGTCATATTCCATCACATAGAATGGTTCCCCTGTCATATTCCATCACACAGGATGGTTCCCCTGTCATATTCCATCACACAGGATGGTCCCCTGTCATATTCCATCACACAGGATGGTCCCCTGTCATATTCCATCACACAGGATGGTTCCCCTGTCATATTCCATCACATAGAATGGTTCCCCTGTCATATTCCATCACACAGGATGGTTCCCCTGTCATATTCCATCACACAGGATGGTTCCCCTGTCATATTCCATCACACAGGATGGTTCCCCTGTCATATTCCATCACATAGAATGGTTCCCCTGTCATATTCCATCACACAGGATGGTTCCCCTGTCATATTCCATCACACAGGATGGTTCCCCTGTCATATTCCATCACACAGGATGGTTCCCCTGTCATATTCCATCACACAGGATGGTTCCCCTGTCATATTCCATCACATAGAATGGTTCCCCTGTCATATTCCATCACACAGGATGGTTCCCCTGTCATATTCCATCACATAGAATGGTTCCCCTGTCATATTCCATCACACAGGATGGTCCCCTGTCATATTCCATCACATAGAATGGTTCCCCTGTCATATTCCATCACACGGGATGGTTCCCCTGTCATATTCTATCACACAGGATGGTTCCCCTGTCATATTCCATCACACAGAATGGTTCTCCTGTCATATTCCATCACATAGAATGGTTCCCCTGTCATATTCCATCACACGGGATGGTTCCCTGTCATATTCCATCACACAGGATGGTTCCCCTGTCATATTCCATCACACAGAATGGTTCCCCTGTCATATTCCATCACATAGAATGGTTCCCCTGTCATATTCCATCACACGGGATGGTTCCCCTGTCATATTCCATCACACGGGATGGTTCTCCTGTCATATTCCATCACACAGGATGGTTCCCCTGTCATATTCCACCACACAGGATGGTTCCCTGTCATATTCCATCACACAAGATGGTTCCCCTGTCATATTCCACCACACAGGATGGTTCCCCTGTCATATTCCATCACACAGGATGGTTCCCCTGTCATATTCTATCACACAGGATGGTTCCCCTGTCATATTCCATCACACAGGATGGTTCCCCTGTCATATTCCACCACACAGGATGGTTCCCCTGTCATATTCCACCACACAGGATGGTTCCCCTGTCATATTCCAACACACAGGATGGTTCTCCTGTCATATTCCATCACACAGGATGGTTCCCTGTTATATTTCATCACAGGATGGTTCCCCTGTCATATTCCATCACACAGGATGGTTCCCTGTCATATTCCGTCACAGGATGGTTCCCCTGTCATATTCCATCACACAGGATGGTTCCCCTGTCATATTCCATCACACAGGATGGTTCCCCTGTCATATTCTATCACACAGGATGGTTCCCCTGTCATATTCCATCACACAGAATGGTTCTCCTGTCATATTCCATCACACGGGATGGTTCCCGTCATATTCCATCACACAGGATGGTTCCCCTGTCATGTTCCACCACACAGGATGGTTCCCTATCATATTCCATCACACAGGATGGTTTCCCTGTCATATTCCATCACACGGGATGGTTCCCGTCATATTCCATCACACAGGATGGTTCCCCTGTCATGTTCCACCACACAAGATGGTTCCCTATCATATTCCACCACACAGGATGGTTCCTTGTCATATTCCATCACATAGGATAGTTCCCCTGCCATATTCCACCACACAGGATGGTTCCCCTGTCATATTCCATCACACAGGATGGTTCCCCTGTCATATTCCATCACGCAGGATGGTTCCCCTGTCATATTCCATCACACAGGATGGTTCCCCTGTCATATTCCATCACACAGGATGGTTCCCCTGTCATATTCCATCACACAGGATGGTTCGCCTGTCATATTCCATCACACAGGATGGTTCCCCTGTCATATTCCATCACACAGGATGGTTCCCGTCATATTCCATCACACAGGATGGTTCCCCTGTCATATTCCACCACACAGGATGGTTCCCCTGTCATATTCTACCACACAGGATGGTTCCCGTCATATTCCACCACACAGGATGGTTCCCCTGTCATATTCCATCACACAGGATGGTTCTCCTGTCATATTCCATCACACAGGATTGTTCCCTGTTATATTTCATCACAGGATGGTTCCCCTGTCATATTCCACCACACAGGATGGTTCCCCTGTCATATTCCATCACACAGGATGGTTCCTCTGTCATATTCCATCACAC